TGTGCGGACCAAGCTAGATATTCTATTTGTACATACATATACATTTATTAATGTTGCCTATCTACATTTCACGGCTACGGAATATACAATTCCGGAGCAAAGCTACAACACTAAAACATGTATTCAAGGAAGTGTTTTTGTCATGTTGATGTTAAGAGCTGTAGTACTTTGAGACATTTTATTATACAACAGTAAAATTAAAGGACAGCCTTTGTAGTATAAGAACAAAAAACAATATAAACATATTGCAGCTACATTAATCAGTGTAAGTCTAGCGTAATTTACGCTTCATTATTATCGGAATATAGTGCTATAATTAATTCGTTCCATTTTATTCAGAAAAGCTAGTAGTTAAAGCCGAACTCTCCGGATGCCCATGATATATTTTTATATTTCCCAATTTTGTGTACAGTCAGATGCATAAAGATGTGTACATTTGTTATACTTCGAAACCTTATAGATAAACAGGCACATTTTTGAAACCGAAAGAAAGTTTCTGTAAATAAATATGGAAAAGAAACTATTGTTAATTTTTGAAAGGTTAACGTTTTTATTAAAGATTTATTTTAAGTGCTGGCAACATTTAAAAATGTTTTGATGGCCGTCATTGAATGGTGGAATGATGCGCTTTGATTGTACTTACGTATAAAGTTAATTAGTTAATCTTTGTAAATCTTTGGAATCCGGTAAATTGTGTTGTTTAGTTTTCACTAAATATTAAAGGACAATGTTTGTACTGTTACACGATTGTTATTTCATTATCTAAGGCATAGGCACTCCCACAATGGAGGATAAGTTTCAGTGTGATCTACCTTCGGAATTAAATTCTGCAAACCGCTTGTCAATACGACTTGTAAATATTTACAGCCGACTGTACACGGTAGGTCATTACTTTCTTTAACTTTATTACGTTTTGCACTTGCGTTGGTAGTATCATCTACAATATACGACTGTCTAAATCCTGTTTTTTACTGTTATTTGACAGAGGAAACAGCTGGGTCGTTTTATGTTTGTATTTATTCTCGATTCAGTGTTTTATAAAATTATTTCAAACTCAAGATGCAAAATAATTTTTTTTCCCCTCATGTTCATACAATATTATCATTGTGCTAATAAAATATACAAAGTATAATTACATGTTCTTGTTCAGTTAAACATCAGGAAAAAAGTTGTCTTTTAGAAAAACACCAGATTTTCAAAAATATTGTGTCTGATTTTCTAAGTCCCCACCGAAGCTATTATAATATTAAAATATCGCCTACATGACATTTCGCAGTAAACTGTCCAATTAAAAATTAATCGCAGAATTTTATAGTATAGAATTTTCAGTAAATATGTCGCAGCGTCCTATGGAGTAGAATGCGCAAGGAATATAATCCTAGACTGCTCTCGACCGAAATAAAGTTAACTCTTAGACTATTTGCACAAATACTCTTCAGATATAAGGTTATTTGAAGTCGACCGCTTAGTTATTTCGTAGACGCATTAATCGTTGCACTTTCAACCTTGAATAAATGTTTAAAGCAGAAAATCGCTTTATCTACTCTTACTAAACTCATTAAGTTTGGGATTAGAAAATTATTTCAAAGTTAATGTTCAAATGCAATAAACTATGCTTGTGTATTTTACACTATCAAGTCTTAAAGTAATTGATTGTTTTAATTATTCTTAAGTCTTAATCAATAGTCATGTTACTATTAAGTATTTCTTCTTTGTAAGCTGATTTTCTGAAACAACTTTTTTTACAGTTTTAGTTAAAATGTATTACTTATTGTCATCTAGATACTTTTAAAGTAATAATTTTTTTTTATTTTAACTACATAACATGTTTACATCATCATCATCAACTTGCTTTTATCCTTACGGGGAGTCGGCACAGTATGTGCTGCTCTTCCATACATCTCTATCAGCCGTCATATCCGATACCACTCCTTTCTTAAGCATATCCTCTTTCACTTAATCAATACATACTTTCTTCAGTCTTCCTCTACCTTTGTAGCCATCCAAATTCAATATGTAATACATAAATGCATAAATACATTTCTCGTTTTCCAATTATTGTCATGTCTTAACACAAATTCCACCAATGTAATTAATATTTCAAAGTTTTAATGTAAAATTACAATAGTTCAAGTTCTTTACACTTTTAGTTCTAATTAATTATTTACAACGTTTTCCAATTTACGTAATGCTTTCCTCGTTCTGTCATTTTAGTATTATTAAGATTTGGATTTGAAATAGAATTCATGTTACGTGTTTTAAAATATGTAAGGTGTGCAACATAAGGCCGTCGTGGCAGTAGGTCAAGTATCATAGTCTCCCAGCACCGGGACCTAGGACGTTCTTGTATAGACGAATAGGCCGTTGTCCAGCAACTTATAATTTGTCAACACATTTTGTTTTTTTTTTTGTGTCATTAATTATTTTTTGTACTTCCTGGTTTTGTGATTAACACGAAAAAAGTATTCGTAACATCTTTTCTACTTCATATTCCTTAGAAATATAATTTTTTTTATACAATTGCATTTAAATCTGAAACCAAACATCAAAGTTATATACATTTGAATTATAAATTGGTGTGATTCTTTTGTAAGACTAATTCAAAGTATTTGGCTTGTTCAAATTAATTTCATGTTCTCCTTTACAAATATTTTTTTATTCTGAAGGACCAACAATTAGCTTTTGTTTCGAAGGGTCAAGTCTTCTTTTATTGCCAGCTCGTAAAGAACGCGAACTTTTATATCATCGTCAAAAACAAAGGACACTCATTTATATTTGGATAAATTTCCTTGCTTTGAGTTTTACTGAAATAATAAAAAAACACAAACTTGTAAAACACGTGTTCTTGTCTGTGTTTTATCAAAAAGTATAAAGCGATGAAAATATTTCAATGGTTCTTATGTAGACTACCGTAAGTCACAATTTTACGATTAACACCTTGTCTTATGTCCTTTTTTAATCGATTTTTAAAAGTAACGTTACATAGAACATAACTGTAGGTTTTGTTTATTTATCGTATGTTTGTGACTAAAGACTCATCATTGATTTTTTGTATATTTTAAAATTAGCTTTTCAAACATACGACAATTTACGTAAGAGACATAATATTACTACTACAGCATTGGAGTCTCATGGCAAGCTTTGCTCTTAAAGAATGTCCTTTACGGTACGGATGAAAGGCTTCATAAAATATATAATATTAGCGCCTGTTAGTTTAAGATAAGCAAAAACAACCCACTGCCACAGAAGATAGACCAAAATAAACAATCCTTGGGGTAATTAATTACACAAATTTTAGTTCGCTTATCATCTTGGAACATTTATAGGTAATAAATTTAAAATTAACATTAAATTAATTATTCTGTATTTGTGTGGAATTACTTGTGTAATCACAAGAAAATGTTGTACAGATACTATTTTTAACGATATCCAAATTTTGGCTGTAACTATGTTAGTTAAACACTAATGAAGATTTAATTAAAGCAATTTAAATACAACTTAAATCAGATTGCCTTGGAGAGACTACGTCCGAAACATAATCGTAGAGTAAGGGGTTGATTCTAGGACTTAATGACTGCCATTAGTCTCAAAAAGTACTTACACCCAGCTGTTAGTCCATTTTTAAATAGAAATTCAAATGCTAGTATTAATAAATAATTATTAATAAATTTTATAATTTTATAATGTATGCCCATTTAAAAATGAAAAAAATCAAATAAATGTAGAAACTTTACTGCCAAAAGTGTACTTTATATTATAGCTAAATACATTATTTTTGCTTTATGATCTATTCAAGTATCAGAAGAGGAAAATAATAAAAGAAAAACTTGAAGCGAAATGATTTCACGCACAGTTAACGGCACCGTTCGCGTGATATGATGTGCCTGTTGTTTTTGATACGGCAACTATTTCCGCATTCGATGAATTGAAAAATTGCTATTTAATATATGACATATTAATATAACATCGAGATACCACAATAATCCCACAAAGAGTTTGCAGGAGGATTGTGATTTGCTGCGTGACTTTATGAAGTTGTAAAATAATGCGATTATCGTGTTTAATGCTTATTTTGACTTGGAAAATACTAAAATGAATAAAGAGATAATAAATATTCAAATATCATTATCACTACATTATCGTACAGAAAATTGAATATGCAAAATACAAACCATTCTATTGATGAGGAAAATGTGTTAACGTGTTTATTTACCTCTCGGGTTTTGCCAACTTGTTGCAAGCTACAAATGCTTGTACTAACGAGGGCAAAACAAGATCGCTTTGATTTCTTACTGATATGGCCTAACAAATGTGGGGAAATTGTAACAGGGTAAATTTAAAATATTTCCTTGTGGTCATTTTTAATTAGCATTTAAACTACGTCAACGATCCTAGGACAAGTTGTCCATACCTGGATGGGTTCAAAGTATTACTAAATACGTGACAGTTAAATTCGCGTATTTGATCGTCGAGCTATCAGTGTGTTTACTTTAAACGATAAATGATTGTTAGATAATTTTTATAAGAATTAAAAGTTACGTAATACCTTGTAAGTTATCTTTAATGATAGTGTTAGAATATATTCAAATGGTATCTACAAAATATAAAAATCTAGCATTTAATATATTTTCAAATTTACAAGGTCAGTTTCTTCTTTCTATTACCTACGTCTTTTTGACGCAGCGTATGGTGAAATTTTATACAAAATTGTATTTCGACTGTTGATAAAAACAATTCAATATTTTAAATTTATGACATCGTAAGTTTGAAAAGATAATATTTTCATTGCGTTCAAATAGTTGCAGCGAATAGACATTAGAATAAAATAAGTTCTTGAAAAGTTCTTCGTTTGCCTTAACTGGGATAATAACTAGTAATAGATACTATGCAGTACTTTAAATACTATTGTCATCGTGAGTGGCAGTTTTAAGCGTGCCTAAGTATTACTTATGTTCAATTATTATCTAGATAATAATCACGAAAAGAACTCGGGTAGTGTCGGTACAGCGACGAGGCAACATGGACGTGCCAGTGCTAGGTGTCGTATTAAACTGGTTCCTTATACTCTTGAGTATTTGTATCTTTTTAATATGTTGCTTCTTTTACTCGACTTATAATTACTGGAAGAATCGCGGCATCCCTTACGAGAAACCGTTCCTTTTCTTCGGCAATCTTAGTTTCGTGTTGAGAAAAAGCGTATGGGATTTTTGTTACGAATTGAAAAATAAACATCCTAGGGATTATGTCGGAATATTTCTGGCATGGAAGCCGGCTCTAATGCTGCAGACGCCGGAATTCGCAAGAAGGATTTTCGTCAAAGACTTTGAATATTTTCAGGATCGATTTTTGTACACTGGTTTCTCTGATCCTTTGGGTTCTTTGAATTTATTTACAGTCAAGGTACGTGTGTTTATTTTATCATTTAAATATTTAGTTATATCGCTATACTTCAATTGATAAAACTGGATTTAAAAAGAAGAAAACATTGTTTACAGTTCTAGACCTGTTCGCAGCATTCCTACGCCGGTTAAGTCAATGTCAATGAAAATATGTATAAACGTAAACAAATCTTTAAGGCCGTATTTACTAGGCCTGTCGAAGCGGTTTTTTAGCCTGCAAATTATGTGCTCTCAAGAGAAAATAATAAAATTAATTTCTTAATCAGTGATATCAAAAAATTAAAAAAAAGGACATTCCTAATTGATTGGTCTTAAGTGACATGTAAGAAAAAACTGTTTTAAGTCAATAGTAGAAAGGTATCTGTTGGAGCCAATCGCCTTGTACTACACATTTATTTGTACGAAATATAATATTTTTATTTATTTCAGAATCCAATTTGGTCGACAATGCGAAACTCTTTATCTCCTATGTTTACAGCTTCTAGACTGAAAATGATAACAGAGTTAATGAACATGAATTCTAAAGAACTAGTCGGAAAAATACGTCGAGATCACATCGATAACAATAAAGATGTCAACTTAAAGGTAATGTTCGTATTTTACAACAATTCAGTGCAATTAGTGACATGTAACTGGTTATTATTCTAATGTAGCATAAGTGTAGGTTTCTGTTGAAGCACTCATTATCATAGAAAAAAGAGAAACAGTTAATACAAGAGTTTTGGTAGTGGCGTCATGTATTTCATCTTCCTACCTTATTTATAAGTTTACATACACCTATATCAGCAATTATATCTAAATTCTCATCTTTACGCATATCCCAAATTCTCTACATACTTTCTTTTATCTCCTGCTTGTGTTATTACTATAATGTTTGTCTGAAATTATTTTCTTACATGCAATCTTCTGCGTTGATAAGTCCCCACTATAGGGCAAAGGGCGTCCTCAATACCGGTTTACCGATCTGGTCTTCCCCTGTCATTGTATCCTTGGTAACAGATAATATGAAATTTAATTATTTAAATTATATTTTAGGAGCTATTCTCAATGTATACTTCAGATACGGTGGCATACAGCGTTTTCGGTATCAGAGTTAGCGTGCTAAACGATCAGGACTCCCCGCTGTGGTTCATCACCAACCACATGGTCAAATGGACCTTCTGGAGAGGCTTGGAGTTTACTATGATATTCTTTGTACCTGCTATTGCTGCTTTACTCCGGTAAGTGCTAACTAATTATAGAGATAGAAAAAAAGAGAACAAATGATTTAAAAAATATTAAAAGGTTTATAAATTAAAAACAGACTACCTTTGTCAAATAATTAAACACAAAAGTTGCAGACTATAGTGATATTATTGATATGATTAACTAGTTTTCGCCCGCGACTCCGTCCGTGTGAAATTATAAAAAAAATCAAAAGTGTTCAAAGTTCTATGTGTTCTTCCAGACTAATCTCTACATACATACCAAATTTCATCGAAATACATTAAGCTACTAACTCTAACAAACATCCATCCATCTAAACTTTCACACTTATTAGTATGAAAGTATGATTATGCATTTAAACTATAAACAAACATGCAAAACTATATTTGTATTGTTCTAATTTTAAGATTACAATTCTTTTCGGACGCTGCAACTGATTATATAAAGAAGATATTCTGGAACGTTGCCAAAGAACGAAAGAACAGCGGCTACGATAATCATAAGGACCTCGTTAATCATTTACTTAAGCTAAGAGATAATTTAAAACTCCCGGCTGATTCGGGATCTGGTACGTTGATATAATTTGCGCTTAAAGATATTAGTTTATACATACCTGTACTTTTAAACAAACATGCAGACGAATTGTGTGCCTCCTTCTTTTGTGAAGTCGGTCAATTAGAAACGAAATAAGTCGTAATAAGGAATATAAAAACATACTGGTTTGTAACTTCTACTTGCCCGTGACTCCGTCCGCGTGAAATTAAAGAAAAAAGTAAGTAGCCTACATGTTTTTCCAGAGTATTTTCAACATCTATGCCAAATTTCATCGAGATCCGTATTGTAGTTTAGGCTACAAAATCTAACAAACACCCATCCATCCATCGATAGCTTTGCATTCGCAATATTAGTCATATACGGGTTTTACAACATTATGTATATCACTGCATCGTTGCAATTTGCAAGATTTTTATCTACATTTATACAATAGACTGATTTGTCTGTTATCAATGTTATTGTTTGTATTATTTTTAGATTTAGCTGATAATTTAATGCTGGCGCAAGCAGCTGTGTTTATATTGGGCTCTATAGAGACATCTTCTACGGCATTGAGTTATTGTTTGCATGAACTTGCACATCATCCAGAAGAGCAGGTAAATGCTAAATAACAATTGACGGTCGGAATTCATCCTTTTTTAACTTAACACAACGTTCGTACAATTCTTTTTTGTTACGCAATATTGTTTTGGACTTTTTCCGGGCTTTGAATATTTTTAATAACCTGGATATAATTTTTTTACATTCTCGGTTTTCTTTAAAATTTGTGGTTTTAAAATCGTGAATGCTTGGTAAAATTAAGTGACTAGTTATAAATGCTTTAGGTATACTAAAATAATACGATTTAAAATTATTCTGTTAACACAGTTATGATTTTATGTTTGTGAAACTCGTTTACTTCTGTAAATGATTTTCTTACCTTGGTGTTAAGTCATAAAAATTGTCAGCGGGGATTCCCCGATGATGCAGATGGTTCGTGATTTCTTAATATACTTTACTTTTATAGATCAGTTTTTGTTAAGCACGATTATGCCATCATTATGCAATTTTGTAAACAGGAAAGAGATACAATTCTTGATGGTTTTCTTGTATACGTACCTACGTTTAAAAGAAACAGTACAATTGTTTGTTTTAAAATGACATATTTGACGTACATTTTCAGGAGAAACTTCACAATGAAGTTTTGGGTGCGTTAAAAAAATCTGGTAACGATACTTTGAATTACGACGAGTTAATGGAATTGAAATACATGTCATCATGTATTAACGGTAAGAAAATTTCATTTATATTATGATATCGTATGTTTTATTACCACTGGAGCGAAAACGATTACTGTCATACAAAAAAGTATTTCGTGTGCATGATATATTTGCTTTGATTAAAACAAGAAAAATAATTACAAGCTACGATGCAAAGCCGTGCTAAAATACTAAATGCTAAAGCCAGAGTTACCTGCTGAGTGGAATTAACCACCAATTTTGACATATTTTATTTAAAAAAAGGTTTTAAATTAAAAAATTACTATTTTTAGAAACACTCCGCAAGTATCCGCCACTCGGATATTTGGATAGGATTTGCAATCAAAGATATAAGTTAAACGACGATGTGATCATTGAGAAAGGAACGCCAGTGTTTATAAATGTGCTAGCGATACATTACGATGAGAAGATTTACCCAGAACCTAACCAGTGGCGACCGGAAAGAATGCATAATGCTTCTGATAACGATAATCTTAACTTTACCTTCTTACCTTTCGGTGAAGGACCTCGTTTCTGCATAGGTAAGTCTAATTAAGTAAAAAGCGCCAATAGCCTTGGGGTATGGACTACCGATCTTGAGGTCGGGATCGAATCCCGTCAATCGACTATTGCCTACAAGCCTAGAGCTTAGTTGGAATGATTAAAGAAAATATTAGTAAATTAACAAAAATGTACTAATATTTACGGATGTCCATTGGCGTCGTTGACCACCTCGGTATTCTCGACGTTCGTTTGCCCCCTTTTATTGTTAAAAAAATAACCAAAAAAAAGAAAAAAAAACGCCTAATAACACAACTGCTAAGTTAACATAAAATCTTTACTTGTCTAAGTCTAAATTATACATGTAGTACAAGAAGGGAGTGATGACTGAGATGACGGATGATAGTGCTTTGGAGGACGAAAACCCGGTGCGCCGACCCTACGGGAGTAGGATAAGGCAGGGGAGATGATGACATGTAGTACAAGATATGTTAGATAATTAGTTACTTTGCTAATTGTAAGATCAACAAAATATAACATTTTTTTTAAATAAAAAATCAAGAAGTTATTATTGTCAAAACGTATATATCATTTATGTATATTTATGACTTGGTATTTTTTTTTATAATAATGACCGAAAGTTTATCATGTTGTTTATAAAATAACATAGAATATTTATTTTCAGGCAAACGCTACGGCTACATGCAAATCCGCGCGTCGCTCGCTCAGTTGGTTGCCGCATACAAATTCCTACCAGCTGACATCCCTTATAAAGTGGAAACAGATCCTTACAGTGTTATATTGTCACCTAAAGACGGCTTGAGTGTTAAATTTCAAGCACGATAAAAATTGCATTTAAATATGAAAAGTAAATAGTTTAGATTAAGTTTTCAAATGAACATTAAATATTTGTACAAACTATTGTTTCATTAAAAAAATATGTTATCTATTATAAAAGAGCCTATTAAATAACGTAGATTAATCTATTAATTTAATATGATAAGAATACGATAGATTTATTAATCATTGATATCTATATCTATCAATACTACAATAAAGTGCAAACACACACTACTTCGTGACGTTAGATGGCTGTAATCACAGCATGTTTTGAATAATTCTCTACCTATATCTATACTATACTAATATTATAAAACGTAAACACACACTTCTTTGTTGCCTCAGATGTCAGCAATTGCAGCATATTTTTGAATAATTCTTTTTTTAATAAAAAAGCCCTACACTTACATACGTCACTTTAGGCTATACATTTTCACGCCATTAAACTGAGGGGTAAATGTTTTGGATAAAAACCCTAATGTGGGAGAGACCATAAGTTGCTGCCAATATCAAGGAAGCAAGATTGCAAAGGTTTGTCATGTGATGTAAGTTTGACATTTGCTATTGATAATTAAACAAAAAATTACAAAATTTCATGCTGGTGAAGCCGCACGGGAACAGCTATTTGTTTTATTAATCTAAAAAATGTTATCATTCATAGTTGTATTTCAATATCTGGTATTAAAATATTTTCCGGCTGGCATTCTATGAAATAAATGAATCGTGCAAAGTCGGCTTTATCACGGAGATTATCGCTTGGTATTTGCCCGATTGCTAAGCGGGAAAGTTAGCAAACAATTGTAGGTAATTGTTTCTAAACGAATAACCACTTATTAGTGATTGGTAACCATTTATAGTAAGTTTCAGCTGTTGGAACACAATTGTATTCTGTAATATTTTCATAGAGCCTTTTTTAATTTATGGGATAGTATTTTAGATTTGAATAGTACACTATAATTATGCGAAATATTAGGTGGATGTTTTTAGAAGGTATTTCCAGAACGGTTCATCAGAACTCGGTCCAATTTGGTACAAATATGTACAATATAATTTGGAAGAATATTTACTTTTTTTTGTAAATATCGCACCGACGTAATCTCGGTCCAAAGTTAGTAGTTAATTTATCTATTAGTTTGAATTCCAAAAAAATATTCAATAAATTTTACACATTATTAGCAACATTACTTTTATATTACTTTCACAATGTTCACAGTTGATAGCCTCTTGAACTCATAAAGAAGATATGTTATTGCAATGATGACAGCTTGAAAATTGCACTCATCTTGTAAGCATTAAGCGTAAATCCTTTATGAGCCAACCGAGTTGATAGCTTGAATGTACTCGTATGACGAAAAAAGATTTTTTATTATTATTAGTGCTATTAATATACTTAAATAGTTACAGTGTATCCTAATCATTAATTTCGGATACAGTAAACACTGCGTTCGTTTAAAATTTAATTCCACTTCGTTATGATTTACAAAATTGCAAACTGCAAAGTAATAAATTTGTTATACCAACAGCTTGCAGTGAACTAAAAGTCTAATAAAATATAACAATTTCAATGCTCCAGTAAAATGAATTCCGTCTTTATGATTGATTCTTTTATGACCAAATATAAATAACTTTGACGCTACGCAAATAAGTTATGTCGGATACGGACAAATTAAAGGGAAAAACCGACTATAAAAAAAAAGTAAGAGTTTAAATAAGTATAATTTAAAAATATATCTCGTTTCCTACTATTTGGTTAGTTATTTGCTTTGATTTAATAAAAACATTTCAATAGGTTATCTATTAAAATAGTGTATTGATAATAATAGCGCAGATAACATTTTCATTATCAAAAAACGATTAAAAAATAATTTGCGTATATCATTTATAAAAAACTAATAAATTCTACAATTTTTTCAATAAATCATTACTAATTTGATTAATTTTACTACATAGCAACATTCGTTGGAACAGATTGCAACACTTGAAATTCATAGAATGTGTACTATTTATGCCCAGAATATTCTGTTGATACTCCGATACACGCCTGAGACTGTCACGAATACACGAGATAACGTTATTGATAGAATTTTATTAGATTTCTACAGCTCTCGTACATAACAAGTCTCGTACACATATTGTCGATGACATTACGAATACTTTCTCGCAAGTGTCACGAAAACATTCGTGATAGACCCTTTTCTTTAACCTGTAATCAGTATGACGTCATGTAATCTTAAACCCGGACAACCTACAATATTGGTAAGTAAGCTTCGTTGCTTTACACATAGATTCTCTACTTGAATGGTATAACACACAACATGACGTAACTAGGGTACAAATATGTGTAAATTCTACTCCAGTATCCATTTTTACGAAAATATACCTGTATCAAAATCGCTAAGATGTCACTAAAAATGAGATCCATAACGTCGCCGAAATTAAAGAAAATGGAAAATTATTCTTTTGTGAACGAAAATTACATTTTGCGAAGCGTAAATCTTTTTAAAGTTTTGATGGGACTTGCTTTATAACAGAAAAAGAAATAATTATGGAGCTTCTATTTAGACATAAAAAAATATTAAAACAATATCTTACTTTGCATATATGGCCTTTGTTTTAAATGTAAATTAATAATTAATTAATAAATATTACAGGACGAATAAGATATTTTCTTTACTATTTTTTTTTAGTTACAATATACAGAAAAAATGGAAATATCGCTATCGAGGTTCATGAACACGAAAGTCATTAGTAACTACGCAAAGAAAATCCAACGCATTATTATGACAAAACATGATGTCATAACAAACGACAATAATCTGGTCGGCGTTCAACGCACGAAAGTAATTAATGTGAAATTACGTTTGACTAATGTAAAACTAATAAGCATTTATCGAGTAAAGCTTATATAAGAGCGTCTATTCGTTTGTTTGAAAAATGCAAACCTTTGAGTGGTAGTCATTTGTTAGGCTATCAATTATCCCACACAATACATCTGTAGAAAAAACGATGTCCACTACGAGCATTGTTATGCTGCGAACATTGTAGCGACAATGACTAGCGTCTCGTGTACATACATTGCTAACGACATTATGTATACTAATGATGTTATGTACACACGTAACATCATTAGTATACTTTTACGTCATGATAAATTATACTGCAAATTGGGAATAGTAAATTATATTCTTATTTTTGTATCTATAATTTACTTCTATCATGCTTCCGTTAATTCGATGAAGTTTTTTGTAGCAAAAAAAACTGATTGTTTTAGTAAAGGTATATTTTTGGTTATGAAATTAACTAAATCGGTAGATTTTATAAGTTAGTCGTCACTGGACATTATCGAATTAAGGGTTAACTGTTCTACAATATTAAATTTTCAAGGTCTTTTCGAACTTCTATGTGTAGTTTGATTTGTGTGATTTGTAAATACTGAAAATTTTGCAGAAAAATTTCATACAAAGCAGTGAAACTTTTAATCAAAGTGTTAGATGTAATGTGTGCGATAACGATCTGCTTTAGTTTGATTTATGGCAGTGAAAGTGGACCGTCACCCTTCCAGTGCTTTGTCTTCTAATGGATTTTGTTCCCACGTTAAAGCGACATCTAGTGATAGATGTGTTATGAATAAGAGAATGTGAAACCCAATTTAAGTTAAAAATTCGATGTCTGTTAGAAAAATAACAAGGAAACAGTGAACACAAGGTTCTTAGCTGATTGGCTAATGGAAAAATCTTTCAGCGCCATCTAGCGATTAATTCTGGTCAGACATATTTGGTCAAACTATAACGCGCGTATTTTCTCGGCATCCTTATAATCTTTCCTGTTTTCAAAATAACTTCTGTTAATTCAAAGATGATAAAGTGAAAAATGCAGAAAAACTATCATCAATTCTTTTATTACGCCAGAATCCAGGATCAAACTATACACAAAATCTAACAAAACCGGGTGTTGTAGTTTTCGATCCTAAAATGGAACGTGACCGAAAATAAGTTAAGAATATCGAAGCGATGCTTAGGATTTAAAATTTCCTTAAAGCTCGAACACTTGGCGCTGGTACCAAATAAGATTTCACTTTAAGAAGCTTTGCTGCGAATATGAAATGATATTGCTTATATCTTGCGATGAATACATTTTCTCAAGAATGTACCAATCTCCTCTATTTTAAGGAAAGTAAGCCAAACATTTTCATATTCAATTTGATGTAAGTGTAATTAAAATAAATTTTACGAAGACAAATAAATTTTAACCCTGCTGAAGAGTCGAACTGTTCAGTTAAAACTGTGGTGCGTAGACAAAACTTGTATTGTGCAGTTCAACTTTGCTTACACACGCATAGTTTTAACCTGTTGACTGTTTTTATAGTCCCTTTCCGACATGAAGGTTTTTATCCAATTTATTTACCCCCAAAGTTTAATAATATGAATATACCAAAAGCGTGTCGTATGTAGAGCTCTTTAATAAAGAAAGAATTATTCAAAAATATCCCGTAATTGCTGACATCTTACGCCACAAAGTAGTGTGTGTTTACGCTTTATTATATTAGTATAGAGTATAGATTAGTCTTTATTAGCTACTTTATCAAGCTGAAGCTCGTTGTTTCTTCGACAGTTGTAAATAGCTGTGCACTTTCACGGCTTACCATGATATAGAGTTGTTTGTTCAACTGGATGCAGCATGTTGCGAACTGCGACTTCGCGGTTCGCAATTACATAATTTGTTACTTTAACGTACTGTCTAGGCTTTGGATCATATTTTACGTTAATACAATTTTATTTTTACAGTTGTATCTTTGTTGGCAAATTATTCCCTAATTAACAAAACTACAGTGAATGTTTTAAGTTTTAATGTTTCTAAGAAAACTAAACTTGTACACTCTAAACTTGTTAAACTAAAGAGAAGATATCTTTGTTTTTTTTAGGATAGCATTAAATATATTGAAACGATTTGCACAATTACTAATTCATTACACAGTAACAGTAGTAGTTAGTTTAAATTTCAATAAAATCTGTGTCTATTTTAGAGAGAAAAGATTTTTATTTTAGAGTGTATTGAAATAACTCAAAAATCACTGTTCCGATTTTTTAAATTCTTTCAGCGTTAGAAACGTAATTTATCTGTGAGTAACATAT